ACTCGTCGCACGAGTGGCCGTAGGTGTGGCTGTGGTACTGGTTCCAATAAACGTGCTGGCGGGGCTCCCAACATACATGTGAATCGGGGCCGGTGGATCCTTGACATGAAGTGAAATCACGATCACCACCGCTTGATGGCCAGAGTGGTCTAATGCCTCGCCCCCTGGACTGATATAAAGACCGATCGTGATGAAATGCCGCTCGCTAGCCGAACGTCTGTCCCACCAGGCGCCTGGATCCACGGGCTGAAAAGATGTATTAGAAAAGGGCGCGCAGCTGCTCGGAGGACGATTGCCCTCCCATCGGCGTTTCTCTCAGCTTGCGTGTCGCTGAGGAAGCGACGACGTTGCTGGAGCAGCTTTTTCGTAAGACTCTCCAAACATTATCGACGATGCACCCCCGGGCACCCGGGCACCCCCGGGCACCCGGGCACCCGGGCACCCGGGCCCGGCCACCGAAATCGGCCACCCGGGCACCCCCGGGCACCCGGGCACCCGGCCCCGGCCACCGAAATCGGCCGCCGACCTCACCTCAGCTTTATATCCGCTAGGACCCCTACAGAAGCAAGCTCTGATTGGGGAATATTTCTATTGCTTAATTGCACAGCAGGAAAAATTGGGGACACGAGAGAGGAGAGCAGAGCAAAAGAAAGTGGATCAGAAAGAGGAAAGGCAGGAGAGCGTGGACATTGCAAAATTATCCAGGCGAAGGACCCAACCGTATGCAGTTGTGAATAACACGTTGTGGGTGCCGCTTGGGGAAGACGCATGCGGGCGGTGCCACTGGGACCTCCGGTGGGGCTCCATATGGGCCACGAAACGCTGTCCTGGGTGTGGCTGACGCATGCGGGCGGTGCCCCTCGCAGGAGCTCCCTGTGGGGCCACGAAGCGCTGCACTAGATGGGGGAAACGCATGCGGGCGGTGCCGCTGGGTTTGTTCTGCAGAGCTCCCTACAAAGCCACGAAACGCAGCACTTGGTGGTGGCCGACGCATGCGGGCGGTGCCACTGGGACCTTCGGTGGAGCTTCCTACGGGGCCACGCGAGGGGGGAACGCGTGCGGGAGGTGCCACTGGGGCCTTCGGTGGAGCTCCCTATGGGCACACGAAGCGCTGCACTGGGTGGGGGGTCGTATGCGGGCGGGCCAGTAGAGGTCCCTACGGGACCAAGAAACGCTGTACCGGGTGGGGGGGACGCATGCGGGCGGTGCCACTGGGGTTCGGTGGAGTTCCCAATCAATGTGGCCACGAAATGCAATACTGGGCGGTGCCAGTGGGGTCTTGGGTGGAGCTCCCTATGGGGCCCGTACTGGGTGTGGCGGACGCATGTGGCCACCCCCACCGGGGCCTTGGGTCCCTATGGGGCCACGGAGCGCTGTACTGGGTGTGGCGGACGCATGTCCCCCTCCCGCTGGGGCCTTGGGTGGAGCTCCCTATGGGGCCACGAAGCGCTGTACTGGGTGTGGCGGACGCATGTGGCCACCCCCACTGGAGCCTTGGGTGGAGCTCCCTATGGGGCCACGAAGCGCTGTGCTGGGTGTGGCGGACGCGTGTGGCCACCCCCACTGGGGCCTTAGGTGGAACTCCCTACAGGGCCACGAAACGCTGTACTGGGTGTGGCGGACGCATGTGGCCATCCCCCACTGGGGCCTTGGGTGGAGCTCCCTATGGGGCCACGAAACGCAATACTGGGTGTGGCGGACGCATGTGGCCACCCACACTGAGGCCGCAGGTGGAGCTCCATATGGGGCCACGAAGCACTGTACGTACTGGGTGTGGCGGACGCATGTGGCCACCCCCGCTGGGGTCGCAGGTGGACCTCCCTATGAGCCACGAAGCGCTGTACTGGGTGTGGCTGACGCATGTGGCCACCCCCACTGGGACCTTGGGTGGAGCTCCCTATGCGGCCGCGAAGCGCTGTACTGGGTGTGGCGAGCGCATGTGGCCACCCCCACTGGGGCCTTGGGTGGCGCTCCCTATGGGGCCACGAAGCGCTGTACTGGGTGTGGCGAACGCATGTGGCCAACCCCACTGGGGCCTTAGGTGGAGCTCCCTATGGGGCCACGAAGCGTTGGCGAACGCATGTGGCCACCCCCGCTGGGGTCGCGGGTGGAGCTTACTGGGTGTGGCGGACGCATGTGGCCACCCCCACTGGGGCCTTGGGTGGAGCTCCCAATGGGGTCACGAAACGCTGTGCTGGGTGTGGCGGACGCACGTGGATACCCCCACTGGGGCCTACGGCTGAGTCACAATGGGGCCACAAAGCGCCGTCATGGGTGTGGCAGACGCATGTGGCCACCCCCACTGGGGCCTTGGGTGGAGCTCCCAATGGGGCCACGTAGCGCTGTACTGGGTGTGGCGGACGCATGTGGCCACCCCGATGGGGCCTTAGGTGGAACTCCCAATGGGGCCACGAAGCGCTGTACTGGGTGTGGCGGACGCATGTGGCCATCCCCGCAGGGGTCGCAGGTGGAGCTCCCTATGCTGCCACGAAGCGCTGTACTGGGATGGTGGTGATGCTGATGCTGATGCTGATGCTGATGCTGATGCCGATGCCGATGCTGATGCTGATGCTGATGCTGATGCTGATGATGCTGATGATGATGATGATGATGATGCTGATGATGATGATGATGATGATGATGATGATGATGCTGATGGTGATGATGGTAATAAGAATGATGATAATTATAATAGATGGAGGAGGGAGGAGGGGGAGGAGGAGGGAACGCGGGGCGCTGTCTCTTCAAAACGAGGACCCAACACCACAGGATGGCTTGGAAAAAAGAAACTACACCCTGGCCAGGGACCTGCGCCAGCCCACGGCGCCACCAGCCCAACACTTGGATCGCGATCTGGGCTGGGGGGGCCCCACCCCGGGCCAGCCGAGGGGGCCCCCTAGCCCTGGACACTCGGATCGCGATGCAATTCTTCCTTGGACCGTGAATTCAGTCGCTTCCCGCCTTAGGGTCCGCCGGGCCGACTGCCTCTTCTTCCTCGACCCTCTCCGCCCAGCGATGGCCGCTCTCGGTGTTGAGCAAGGAGATCCATCCCGCAGGCTCCTCAACCCGCGCGCGGATCCTCTTGTCCTCCGTGCTGTCTACCACCTCCACAACCTTGACGTCGCAGCCTGGCTCCAAGGTCGCGAACTTCTGGCTTCCGACCTTCGCGGTTAGCTGCACCGCCGTGCGCTTCAGAACAATGTACCTCCCAGGAGCGTCTTGAGGCTTCTCCTCCACTGGCCAGTCCGCAGCCGCGGGAAGGTCGTCCCCCGCCTCCTCGCCCTCCTTCTCCTCCATGAGCATCGCCCACGCTCCTGCGCCTTCTGGCCTCTTCGGCACCGATATCCAGCCTGCAGGCTTTCGGATGCGCATCGCGACGTTCTTATTCTTGGGCTTGAAGACCACCTCTTCCACATCGATCGCTTTGCCAGCGCTCAGCTCCTGGACTATATTGCTGTCCTCCCCGACCTCTGCTCGGACTACGACCTTCCAGAAAAGCCAAAATCGGCCTGGCATGAAGCCGAGCTTCTTCGCGCGAGCTCGTTCCTCCTCGGCGACCTTGTTTGACAAGTCAACGGTAAGTATCGAATTAAATGGGAGAGGGTGGGCCAAAGATGGTGCCAGACACTAGCCGGATGCTGTGCCGCTAACATTGTGCCGTTCTGGCCACGTGATTGTTCCGTTCTTCCCGTGTTGTTCTGTGGTTGGCGCTTGGGTTCATGGATTTCTGATGCGCCCATTCGATGTGAAATCGTTTGCTTGCGCGCGTTCTGGCAATTTGCCATTTGCATTTCCAATGCGACCACCTACTTCTTGGCATGGGTCGCAGGGCAAGTGGTTCGAGCGACGGGGCCAGATCCAACAAGGGATTCGCCTCGGAGTGGATCTCCGGGTACCTTCAAAGGTCGACGCCGGCCGTGGTACCCTGAGACCCTATGACCCTAAGACCCTCTGGCCCTAGGACCCTGATACCATCAGACACTGGGACCCTGACATCCTGACACCCTGAGACCGTTGGACCCTGAGACCCAAATGCCCAACGACCATAAGGCCCCAACACACTAAGACCATGAGACCCTGAGATACTAAGAGCCTGAGGCCCTGAGACAATAGAACCCCCAGCAAAGCCCCAGGAGGGGCCCAAACACGGCCCACCAGGGCCCCGAGCCGGCGAGCTTGACAGGACAATTTTGAAGGCGTTAGGTCGCCGGCAGGCGAGCTTGAGAGAGCACTTGTTGAAAGCTTTAGGTCGCCAGCAGACTCGGGCTCGCTTTAGGCTGCGAGCTTGAGGACAGTGCTTGAAATCAGTAGGTTGCCAACAGGCTCGGGCTTGCTCTAGGCTGCGAGCTTGAAAGGACAGTTTGAAGGCATTCGGCTACAAGCAGGTGAGCGTTAAAGGGTAGATTTGGGAGCGGAGATCTGCTCTACATTTGGATTCAGTGGCTCTGTGATGTCTGAGGAGTGTCCCAGCTGTCTTCCGCATGCTGAGCAACGGTTTTACCATTGTCTTACACGTCTTCTACATGTGGCTGGCACTGGTTTGCACCTGGCTGACACTGGTTTACCCGATTTACACGGGTTTACACCCAGCTTGCACTGGATTGCATCCGGTTTACATTGGCGTACACAAAATTTACACTGGCTTACAACGGTTTACACTGCTGTACACTTGGCTTACACTGCTTTACACCCGTTCTTCACTGGTTTACACCCGTTTAACACTGGCTTGCACTCGGTTTACACTGGCTTACACCTGGTTTACACTGGCTTACACCAGACTTACACTGGTTAAAGCCTGGATTACCATGCTGTACACATGCATTACACTCTTGATTATTGTTGCACATGTCAGTGGGTGCCACTTGTCTCCCCTTCTGGATTGGAGCTAACCTTCACCTCAGACGTGCTTGGGTCCTCGTATCCTGGTCCGTAACCCCCTCTCCCGGCGAAGAGCCTACACCCAGAACGACCCGAACAAGAGGACCAAAAGTGCCAGCATGCATGCCTTGGGGACGGGTCGTGGCAGGGGTTGTGGCAGGGTTTGTGGCCGTGGTTGTAGCCACCTCGGAGGCCGCAAAACTCGAAGACTGGCCACGCGGCGCGCGCTCCATATGGCGTGGTGAAACCGACGGGCCACCGGTCCCGCGCTGCAGTGAAGCTGCCAACAAGGCCACAGAGCCCGACGCCCCCCGCGGGCTTTGGGAAGCCGCCGTTCCAGGCCGATCTGGAAGAGTCCGAGGACTCTGGGAAGGCCACAAGACAACATTAAAGCCCCCAGAGGGCCCCAACTTGGGCCCAAGACGGCTCCAAGAGGGCCCAAAAACGAGCCTTGGGAGTGTTCGTTTTGAGGGGCCCTGGAAACGAACGATCCCAGGCCCCTCTCAGAGCCTTCTTAGGACCCTGTCAGGGCCCTCTTGGAGCCCTCTCAGACCGTTCTGAAGGATCCGAGTGCCCTGGGAGGGCCACAAGAACGCCCTTGAGGGCCCCGTGAGGGCCCTAAGATGGGCCCAAGACGGCTCCAAGAGGGCCCCGAGACGGGCTTGGGAGTGTTCGTTTTGAGGGGCCCTCAAAACGAATGATCCCAGGCCCCTCTCGGAGCCTTCTTGGTGCCCTGTCAGGGCCCTCTGGGAGCCCTCTCAGACCGTTCTGAAAGGTGAGAGTGCCCTGGGAGGGCCACAAGAACGCCCTTGAGGGCCCCCAGAGGGCCCCAAGATGGGCCTAAGACGGCTCCAAGAGGGCCCCAAGACGGGCTTGGGAGTGTTCGTTTTGAGGGGCCGTCCAAACGAACGCTCCCAGGCCCCTCTCGGAGCCTTGTTGGTCGAGGACCGGCAACCTCTATCGGGGATGGTGGTGGACAAGGTCCACACTTCACGTCCTCCCCTCCCCTCCCATCGCCTGCCCGCCCCTCCCCTCCCCTCCCCGACCCACCCATTACCACCCCTTTCCTCCTGGCCCCTCCCCTGCCTCCCTTCGCCCCCTCCCCCATTCATTTTCCACCCCCTTCTGCCCCCTCCCTCTCCAGTGAGGGGGCGAGCGAGCGAGGGTGATAGGGAGGGATGAGGGAAAGGGGGAGGGGGGGTGCAGGAGGAGAGGGAGGACGAGGAGGATGACGAAGAAGAGGAGGGAAGACGTGGATGAAATTCATCTCGGAAGGGGGACACATACCTTCCACTGCGTAGCAACATTGGAGAAACCTGAATTGAAAGATACATACAAGCTGCCGCGAGAGGCCCTCGATGAAAAACAAAACTCCTTATGGATCTGGCTGCCCTTGTGGCCGCACTTGTGGCCACTGTTTTCTGGTATTCAATTGTATTCTTACCATTGACTATAGAAGACCTTGTCCGCCGGCGACTGCACTCCCGACAGCTCCGCCACGCACCACTCCGCGGCGCTATCCACGAGCCCCTGCACCCTCTCGACCGCTCTGCGGCGCCCGTCGGCGTGGCAGCCGCAGATGTGGATTTTGCTGGGCGCCTTGGCGTCCCATTCCCCCTCGGGGTCCACGGGCTCCTGCACGATCACCGTCTTCGTCTCCGCCTCCACGCTGCGCAGATCGCTGGGCTCCACGGAGCAGCACTTGCCCGCTGGCGCCTCTACCGACACCGCTTCTCCCGAAGCGCGCAGCCTGGCGAGGGTGCTGACCCTGCCGTAGCAGAGCCCGAGCACCTGGCACGCCAGCGCGCCCCAGGCTGGCACGGTCTCGGAGCGCCGGGCGCCGCCCGAGCAGCTGGCACCGACGAAGGTCAGGAGCTGGCCGTCCCCCGCGGCACGCATGTCCGCCAGGTTGCGCATCTCCTGCGCGCCGTCCAGGAGGAAATGAACGGCGCCGGCCTCCGAGGCCCGGAATGTCATCTGCCTGCCGTCCGCATCCTTGAACTGCACCTCCCTGAGGTCGGTATCGAACCATCCGCGCCCTTCGGAGCCGGCGCGGCTGTCCTCCACCAGCAGCCGCAGGTAGTCGGGAGCGCGTGCCCGCTCCTCGGGGCACCCGAGCGCCACGATCGCGCCGCCCAGCGCATGCAGGGCGCAGCCCGACGCCGCGGCGGCCCGCCTCAAGGTCGCCCGGCCGCCTCCCGTGGACCACTTCACGCTCTCCAGCACGGGGTCGGGCACAGGCCCAGCTGGCCGCAAGAGCTCGAGGCACCAGGGCGCGTCGCCTCTCACGAAGTCCGCCCTGCCGCCGCTGAGCTCTTTGACGAGGTCCTCGAGGTCCGAGGACCAGAGCCCCGGGAACTCCTTCTCGGCCTCCAGCAGCGCCGCGAAGGCGGCCTCAGTCCGCGGCCGCTGGAGGCCGAAAACCGTCAGCGTCCAGGCGCCACGCAGGCGGCTCAGCCGCTGCCGCTTGGCCTTGGGGAGCCTGGCCCGTAGATCCGCCAGGGGCACCTCCGAGCTGCTGCCATCGAACTCCCATTCGATAGTCGCCGTCCCGAGGTGCAAGCCATCGACGCTCGTGACGGTGCCGTTGTACCACTCGGCCTCGTACTTTGCTTCCAGTGCCTCGCCGGGAGCCAGTCCATTATCTTTTCCGCACGTCTGGTTTCATTTCCGTTCCCCCTCGCAGGGGCACGTCTCCCATCCCTCGGAATTCCAATCGTTTTTTGATTTGGAATCTTCACTTCGGGAGAATAAGTATTGCTGATTCCCCCCTCCGGTGACCATTGTCTTGTTCAATGAATGTGCTCCTCCCGGGGCTCGCACCTGGTTTTTTCAAGGGAGCATGTGGTGACGCCGAACTGTGTTGGTGGCACCCCCCGAATTACAAGAACAGCAAAAACAACAACAATAACAACAACAATTACTAGCACGTGGGGACACTCCGTTCTCACCAGTGCCAGGGTTTTCATAGGAGGCGGGCAATACCCCCACTTTGTGGGGGGGCCGGTTCAAGCTCTACCAAATTTCCAAACGACTCTTCGCCACCACCCACACCCAGCTTCCCGCCCTATGACGTTCGGACACTTCACTTCGTGGCATGCGGACGACCGTGGCTACTATTCAGGGCCCCGCGGCCGACGACGACGGCGTGCGCGCGCGAAGAAAAAACGAATGTGTCCCGCATGGTATTATTTGACAGGGATGATGGCCCTGGCAGGTGCGCAACCGTTGTTGCAGAAGTTCGAAAATGTTGCTCGCAAAAGCCCGTTTGACAGAAATGTTGAAAAAGTGTTGGGTTTCCTACGAATCCGCAAGAGCGCGCGGGATGAAATTTTGACATGTTTTTTTGACAAACCATTGGTTTTTTGATGTTTCTATGTTAAAATCGCTACGAAAACAAAGGTTTTGGAAGGATTTCGTCTTGCGCGCGCGAATGTGCACTTCGTGTCGTTTTTTTGCAAAGGATTCTTGAAGTTTGGTTATGTTAGAACAAGACATGTCATTTTATATTGTTTTTTGACAGGGACAGCGGGCGTCAACAAAACAACCGGATCCGGACTCCCCCGTTCTGCCTGAGACTTCCTCACGAAAATGATGAAAATGTGGCTGCGGCCTAGGCGCGGCGAGGGGGGCGTGCACCAGGGGGCCCAACAATAATTATTCTTTAGAAGTAATAATATTCAACAACAACAACAACAACAACAACAACAACAACAACAACAACAACAACAACAACAACAACATCAATCATTTAAAGACTGTTCGCCCATATATGCTCGAGTGTCGAATCATTTAAAGACTGTTCGCCCATATATGCTCGATACCCGCCCTCTTCGTCTTCGATCGAACCCCTTTTGAAAAGTATACCTTTCTTCCCTGCAGGCTGGGCCCCAGCAAGCGGCGGGGCGGCCGCGGACCGTCGGCCTGGCCAGCGGCAGCGCTAATCGGCGGGGCGGCCGCGGACCGTCGACCCGACCCCAAGAGGGACGGACAGGGGACCGACCACGACGACGACGACGACGTCGAAGACGACGGCGACGACGACGGCGACGACGAGCGAAAGCGAGAGCGAGAGAGAACGACAGCAGGGCCACGAAGGGCACGAAGTAGGCCACGAAGGGCGACAGCGGGGACACGAAGGGAATGCGGATGGGGCCACGAAGAGCGCGAACGAGCGAGGGCCACGAAGTGCAGATAATGCGGGGCCACACAAGGCAACTATGGGGCCACTGAGGGTAGCAACTGGGCCACGTAGGACAGTGAGGGGGACACAAATGGCGACAGCGGGACCACGAAGGGCATGCACATGGGGCCACAACAGGCGCGACTCCTGGGTGCCTGGGTGTCGGGAGCGCGGCGCTTGGGCAAATTGCAAGAAATTCCAACGCAAGGTTATTCTTCAGTGAGTTACAAGCAAGTCTCCAGCGCGCGACTCCAGAGCGCCCGGAGAGCGATTCCTGAAGAAATTGTAAGGAAGTCCCGAGCGAGAGCGCGATTCCTAAATAAAATGCGAGGAAGTCTCGGGCGGGAGCGGGGGTCCTGGCTAAATTGTAAAAAGTCTCAAGCGGGAGCCGTTGTTGTTGTAACCCGGGGGCCAGGGGCCCAGTTTGAGCAGGAAGACTTCCCCTGTCAAAAAACAGGGTGCGAGCGTCGAGGGGCACACTTTGATTGAGAAAAAACAGTGTGCACCGGTGGAGGGGGATCGACACAAATTATTGTCCAGAATTGAGAATTCAACAACAACAGCAGCAGCAGCAACAACAACAACAACATTAACACCAGCAGCAGCGACAACAACAACAGGAACACCAGCAACACCAGCAACAGCAACAACAAAATCAGCAACACCACCAACAGCAGCTACAACAACAACAACAATAAGTTCAAGACTGTTCGCTCTTATCCGTTCGCGTGCCATTCAACACGTATATCCCAAGTCCTCGATACCCGCCCTCTTCGTCTTCGATCGTGCTCCCTCAGGGGTACATATTTCTTGCCTGCTACGTGTATTTCGTGAAGCCCCAAAGGCAAGGGAAAAGGAAACGGCAAGGGGCAGGCGGGTTGCTGAAGCGTGCGTCCTGAATGAATGCCGAGGTCTCGAGCGACAGCGCGATTCTAGAAT